TGCACCCCTTCTAAACCAATTAACAACAGATTTAGAAGGCGTGTAGCTGTAAGAACATAAGAGACGCCAATGTTGGATCAGGCCAAAGGCCCATCCAGTCCAACACTCTGTGTCACACAGTGGCCAGAAATACCAGTGCCATCAGGAGGTCCACCAGTGGGGCCAAGACATTAGAAGCCCTCCCACTGTTGCCCCCCCCAAGCACAAAGAAGACAGAGCATCACTTGCCCCAGAGTCCCTATCTATACCTTGTGGCTAATAGCCACTGATGGACCTCTGCTCCATATGCTTATCTAATTCCCTTTTGAAGCCATCCATGCTTGTAGCCGCCACCACTTCCTGTGGCATGTGAATTCCAGCTGTGTTTAGGATTGCCACGTAAATCTGCTTAAAGTGGCATAATACTTTTATAGCATAAACACACACCTTTCATTTTTAGCTCATGTCACAGGGCTCTTGCCCTTTGCATCTTTGGTCAGTACATGTGTTAAACAAACAAAATACCTAAAATATGCCGGCCAATTAACTGGGGATTCCTTTTTATTTGATCAAAACCTTTCTAGCTGATTCACCTAAATGACGGAGTAAACATTACACCTCGTTCTAATATTCTTCTGCGATCCGGTGCGTAAGATAGCATGGGGCGAATGAAATTAATCGGAGACACGAAAAACCATTTCCCACGCCTGGTTTTCACCCGTTGCCAGTTGTGGTCTCTGCGGAGGGCACCGAGTCAGCTGTGCGTCTGCAGAGTGGATGTCGTTTCTCATTCCCTGCTCGTTTGTCCCCTGCAAACCGATTTATGTTTCAAAAAGAGATTCGATGTTATTCTCCGGCTGCAGCATGTCAGATTAAATGCTGGTTTACTGATTCGACATGAAAGTAACCAGGAAAGGTGCTGTCAGAACTGGGTGGTGCAGCCTGCAGTCAAGCAGAAGCCAACGACTGGCAGTCACATTGGGGCCTCTGAGATCCGCTGCGGTTGAAACACTAACCCCAGGCTAAACAGGAAGCCTTCGTAATCCTTCCTGTGGATGTGCAAGGCAATGGCAGGCCGAGGTGCACAGAGAGATTATGAAGCCCAGATCTTGGGGCCCGGGGGCCTGCAGACCTGCTGGCTTCCTGCTTAGGGGCACCAATCCTTGTCTTCTTGGTTCTGTCCCTCACATTTGCTTGGCTTGAACAAAGTCTGAGTCTGGGGGCACCTTTAAGACGAACAAAGTTTTATTCTGGGTATAAGCTTTCATGATCAAGATCCATGAGGGTAAGAAAGAAGTCTGATAAAGGGCCAATATTAAAAACCTGGTTGTATATTATAAAATATACAAAAATATGTGTATTTATTAGAAAGACAGTTAACATATAAGGGTCCAATGAAAGCCTCATTCAAAAGTTCAAGTGGCTTGAACATAAGGGCCAATACACATGACCTGACGCGTTTCTGCCCTATTGGAGCCTTTTTCAGAGGTCAAACAGTACTGAGGTACACGTAACAATAATACATGTTACAATAAGATAATCAATAAATGAAATCTGGACCAAGAAAAGGAAGGTTAAGCAGCAAGATCTATAGACACGAGACAAAAAAAATTGTGAGGCCTCTAAAGATGAAAGTCATGTGTCTGGTGCAGGGCTCTTTTTGTAGAAAAAGCCCAGCAGGAACTCATTAGCATAATAGGCCACACCCAACAGCAGAAACTCATTAGCATATTGGGCCACACCCCCAACAGCACAGCTCATTAGCACATTAGGCCGCACCCCCATGTTACCAGAACTGTGGTTATCCAGCCACACCCACCTTTTGCTTGTTATTCTGTTTACCTTGTTTGTTGTCAACACCCAGGGGGTTTTTTGTAGCAGGAACTCCTTTGCATGTTAGGCCACACACCCCTAATGTAGCCAATCCTAATGAGTTTCTGCTGTTGGGTGTGGCCTATTATGCTAATGAGTTCCTTCTGGGCGTGGCCAACTTGGGAGCCAGCCAGAACTCCGTTCCTGTGCGTTCCTGCTCAAAAATAGCCCTGGGTGCCAAATGCACAGTTGCTGAATTAGAACATCTTCCAATTTAGGTCCAAAAAGCACCTGTGTGGCTATCTGAGCTAGAGTGTCCTCAAGCAAATAGGTTTTTAATATTTGCCCTTTATCAGACTTCTTTCTTACCCTTGTGGTTCTTGATTCCAATTTTTGGGCCGTTTGTTTTTCCCCTCCCTGTGTCTTACTATTATAACCTTTTGTGTGCAGGCACACTTCTTCAGATACTGCGGGGCTGATATGATTCCGTGCAGCATAATGTGGTGTCTTCATAAAGACAGATTCAGGGGGGTAGCTGTATGGGTCTGAAGCAGCAGAACAAAGTCTGAATCCAGTGGCACCTTTAAGACCAACAAAGTTTTATTCTGGGTGTCCATGCAGTCCAATCTTCTGCTTCACACAATGGCCACCCCTTTGCCCAAGAAGGCCAGTAATTAATTAATAATTATCGTATGGCAATGTGTGTAGTGTCACCAGGAGATCCAAAATTTGTCTGGCAGCTGGAAGTTCTAGCTTTTTTAACATTATGCACCACTAGGTGTTGAGCTAACTTATTTGGGGAGGGGGTGAGAGCTCTGAAAGAGCTGTGACTGACCCAAGGTCACCCAGCTGGCATCATGTAGAAGGTGGACCAACCAACAGGCCATAGAGGCTAAGGCCTACCCCAACATTGCCTCTTAGCTTTGGTACTCAGAGACTGACTAGATACGAGGGTTCTCTTTGGTCACTGGGGCTAATAAATTAATAATTATCATACAGCCCTGTGTGTAGTATAGCCAGGAGAGCCTAAGATTGTCTGGCAGTCTGAAGTTCTAACTCTTTAGTGTTATGCACCACTAGGTGACGTGCGAGACTTATTTTTTGGGCTGAGCTGTGACTGAACCAAGGTCACCCAGCTGGTTTCAAGTGGAGGAGTGCGGAATCGAACCTGGCTCTCCACATTAGAGTCCGTTGCTCTTAAACGCTACACCACGCTGGCTCCAGGTCATTGTAGCTGGCAGCCATGGATGGGACCATGAATCCGTCTAAACCCCCTTATTAAAGCCAAATACGTGAGTGCTTTTATTATGCTTTATTTTGTAACCCACCTTGGGCAGGTACCTTGATGGGGTGGCATCAAAATTTTCTAAATAAATTGCGGCCATCACTACACCCATTGCCAGTGAATCCCACAATTTAATTACTCATTGAGTAAACAAGTACTTCCCCCCCCCTCCTGAATCCTTACAACAGCCCCGGGAGGTAGATTTGGCTGAAAAGGAGTGAATGGCCCATGGTCAGTCATCGAGCTTCAGGTCTGAATGGGTTTTTGCACCTGGCACTCCCAGATCCCAATCTGACATCGGTCACCGCTACATCACACTGGCTCTCAGGGACTATCAAAGCCGCCCTGTTATCTCCCTGCTGCAGCTTGAGATATGCATTTGAATCAGCTGTCCCACTAAGTACAGAGTGTGGCAACTTATGGGTGTATCTTAAACTCTGATCACCTGGGCGTATCGCTAATTGCTACCTTGCAGATAGTGGAAACATCACCACAGCAGCATCTACATGTGCCAAGGAGGCAACCTGCCATTCCCAAGATGGCCACCTGAGGTCAGTGTTTGTTCATCAGTCATGGGGGGGGGGGGACCGGCCAAGAACAGACCAAGAGATAGGATAAGCTGCTCAAAAGCTACTCAGATACCTTTTATTTATTCATTCACTATTTACAGTCCACCTTTCTCACTTGGACTCAAGGTGGATTCTGCAGAGTGAGTCAATAACAATCGACTGGATGGGACATTCAATACATAGTACAACAGGATTAGGGTTGCAGAACCAATCAGAAATCAGAAAACAAAAAGCACAAGTCTTAACATGAGACATTAAATGATGCAAAACTGACATAGTAGGATCCTAGTTTCAGCAAGGAGCTCCGGCAGGAAAGAGCCCAGGGGGCGGGCACATGCAACAAGCCCCACCCCCTGCTCCCAGCAGCCCTCAGTCAGAGCAAGAAACAGCCAGGTAAGTTGCAGAGCTCCCCCCGGCCCCCCAGTCCAAAGGCACCTTTAAGACCAAGTTTTATTCAGGTACAAGCTCTCCCTCCTCTGCAAGGACAAATCTGGAGGTTCCCCCCCCAATAGCTAGCAATCGAAAGCAGTCCAGTGGAGCCTGAGCGGTGGGTGTTGCCTTCTGACACACTTCCGGTGATTTCAGGGGGTGTGGCATATGTAAATATTATGCTAATAATTTATGCTAATAAGCTCCAGCACCTCTTTTTCTACCAAATGACCCCTGCTGGTGTCTAAAGCATGCAGTCTGTCAAATAGGGTTGCCTCCTCCAGGTTGGGAAATACCTGGATATTTTGGGGGTGGAGCCTGAGGAGGATGGGGTTTGGGGAGGGGCTTCATAGTAGTGTAAAGCCAGAAAGTCCACCTTCCAAAGGGGCCATTTTCTCTTGGCGAACTGATCTGTCGCCTGGAGATCCCCAGTAATCCCACGAGCTCTCCAGCCACTACCTGGAGGCTGGCAACCGCCCTCCTAAAGGGAGCCCCAGGGGTCAGGGGAACCATTCCTGCCGTTTCCTGCTTTAATCTTTTCATGTTTTCAGTAGTTAGGCCGCCTTGAGTATCCTGACATATGTCTGGCTGCCTTTTAAAAACTGAACTGGAGAGCGGGCCCAGAGATCCAAACCGGCAAGGTTAGCAGGGGGCTTGGGCCTGTCCAGAAACGGCGGCGCGGGGGGGGGGGAGACTCAATCCACCCCTTCCCTTTCGGGGATCCGAGGCCCGGCGTTCGGGCTTCGCCGCCCGCGCTTTTGCCGCCATACAGCGCCTGGCACCGGGCGGGGAGCTCGCCAGGCGGCGCGCCGGGGCAGGGTCCCGTCCAGCCCGGCCGCCCGCCCCCCGGCCTGAGCGACAGCTCCATGTGCGGCCGGGTATAAATAGCGGGGTGGCGGCCCGCCCCGCGTGATTGACGGCTAGTGCGCCGCGCCGACTCGGACTGGGACTGGGAGCCGCCCAGGACCCCCGCGCGCCCCGCTGCCGCCGCCGCCGCCAAGCTCCCCACTTTCCGGCCGGGCAAATGGGCTCCAGGCGGAGGCCTCTGGGCCGCTCCTACTCGGGCAACGGCCGCTTCTCGGCTTACAGCCTCTCCGGCGCGGGGAGCGACGGCGAGGACAACGGCCCGCTGGTGGAGAGCCGGCCCGAGCGGCGCAGCTACTTGCTCAGCGTGCGCCCGGAGAACAGGTAGGCGCCGTCGCAGCCGGGTAGCTCACTCAGGGGGCGAGCGCGCCTCGTCGTGCGCCAACCTCGGCCCGCTTTTCCTCCGATCGTGGCGCAGCGGCCCGTCCACGCGTCGAGAAACTTTGTTGGGGCGCAGATGGGCAAAAGACGCGCTTGTGCGCTCGAGGCGGCGTTAGCTTGTGGAATTCGCTGCCACGCGATTTAGGGGCTTTGGATCAAGCGGCTTCGGAAGAAGAGATGAAAGGGCACAGTTAGAGGAGGCGGATCGTTCTCTGGGCTAAAGAGGCATTCTGGGTCAGAGGCGGCGCGCTGCTTCATACTGGTGGGTGGGTGGGATGTATGTTTTTTTATTATTAAAATTTTTATAAACAAATTACAAAACACAGAAGTGAAGAGGTGGGATGTATGTTGCCTCCCATATTTTGCTTGGAAGCTTTCTGGGAGCGCCACCTGGACAGAGTGGGAAATGGGGTGCTGGATTAGTTGGACTCATGGTCTGATCCTGCACAGCTGTCCAACCCCAGACTGGCTCCCCTGCAACACAGTTTCCTAAGAACCATAATCAGTAGCTCTTGCTCCTGTTTCCGAGTCAGGCCTTAGCTGTCCATGTGTGTCGTATTAACAAAGAAGAGAGAGCCTTGAAGCATGTGCAGAGTGCCCCTTGCTTTTGGTTACCAAGTAACCCTGTAATCTGACATCTGGATTTCCTGGGACGAAAGGGAAGACTCTTGTAGATCAGAAGGCCTGTGGCTTCCATGCAGGACCGGCCATGCTCATCAAGTGGGCTGGGCTTGGAACGCAGCCCAGGAGGGATGAGGCAAGGTGCTTTCCTGGGCTTGCAGGCGAAGCAGCGAGCCCAGCCAAATCCCCCGGCGGCTGGATTAAAAGGAGGAGGTGACGGTTGATTAGAGTAGTTTCCTAGAGATCTGCTAGTTCCTGCCATGGGCAAGGAAATTCCAATTCTGAGATGTGGGTGTGGGTGTGTAGGTGTGCTTTGCCTTCTTGACAGCCTTGTGGAGATACCCAGGAAGGGGCTTTCTGCTGCCTGGAGAAAAAGAAGCAACTGGCTCAGTGGTTACAGCCTGGAGTGGCAGATCTGACTCTGTCTAGAAGATCTAACTGAGAGTTGTCCCTGCACTACTGTGGCCTTTAAACTTTAGGGCTTTCTTTATTTTGCTGATATCTTGCCTTTCTCCCCACTGGGACCCAAACTCGCTTACATTGTTCTTTTCCGTTTAATCCTCACGACAACCCTGTGAGGTAGGTTAGGCCAAGAGTATGCCAATGGCCCGAGGTCACCCAGCAAACTTTCTTGGCCAAGGAGAAGTTCAAACCCGGGTCTCCCAGATCCTAGCCCGACAGTCTAACCACGACACCACACCTAGTGTGGCATAGCTGATATTTTAGTTTGTAATGTCTTCAGGGCAGAGGTCTTTGCCATTCATGGTGTTATATAAATTGCCCTGACCTGGACGATCAGCCCTGCTTAGTATTTGGATGGGTGACCGCCCAGAAAGTTCAAGGTTGCTCTGCAGAGCCAGGCAGTGGCCAACCACCTCTGTTCGCCTCTTGCCTTGGAAAACCTACGGGGGTCCTCGTAAGTCAGCCGGGACTTGATGGCATTTCCCACCACCATGATTTTATTAGTGAATGGCTCCAGTGTGCTGAA